GTATACTATTCACGTGGCGGAGGAAGAAGACGAGCCATTGTGCCTGTTGCTGCTGCTGCTGCAAACTGGATATTTTACAAAAGTTGAACCATCTCAATATGGCTGTGAGTATACATTAAATCTAATAAATACATTTAATCTAATAGCCAGTCTACAATGAATCGTTATAGTCGTTAGTCAAATGTTGGAAAAAGCGTATCGTAAAGCAATCGGAAATCCATAATCGGTGATCGTTAAGAGATGGCATTTGGCCAATCGCTTACGATCGCCGATTATAGACTTCCGATCGCTTTACGATACATTTATGACTTTTTCCGACATCCCGGCTCTTCCGACATCCAACTAAAAACTAACGACTCGTTGTAGACTGGTCATACAAATTCGGATACTCGCAACTCGTCGCGTCGCGTAATAAAAAAATATCTCGGATACTCGCAAAACTCGTCGCGTCGCGTAATAAATAATAAAAAAATATTAATTAAAATTATTTTATAGAATGAAGAGAAAAACTCCAACGTAGACGGCAATATCAATGTCGATATGACGGAGGATAATAAGGACGATAAGGACGAAGTAATACGCCTTAAAAAAGAAAATGCGCAATTGCGGCGACAACTCGGCGCAATTCACCAATCGCCATCGCCACAGCTATTTGTACACACACTGCCGCCACCTTCACAGCCATCAACATCGGCACCGGCACCGGCACCGGCACCGGCACCGGCACCGGCACCACCAACAACGCCTACATCAACAACTCAATCAACTCAACAAAAACGTAAGTACAAGAAATCTTTTAAAATACGGTTATGATATTTAATCTTTTAGCGTTTTTAACTGAACTGGGTTTGTTCGCTAGCTATTTTTTGTAAAATAAATTTCTGTTTGTTACAGCAAAAAGATGGGCACGAGCCGGGCGTAACCGCCACATATACGCAAGAGGAAGGGGAAGAGGAGGAAGCGGAAGAGCAGAAACAATCAAAACGTACAATTTTAAAATAATGTAAAAGCGAAAAGCGATTTCTTGATTAACAAAAGCATCCTACGAAATATATAATAAATATACTTGTCTATTTTACATGTTTAGTTTTATAATACTAGTTTATAACACTTTGTTTTTTTTTCGATATTATATATCCTTAAATTGTGATATGTAACTTTTTTAATTCTGTTAATCAAACCTTTTTATCTTCAGGTAATTTAGCCTTATGCGATATAGAAACTAGAAACCTTATTG